TTATGAGTAGGGCCGGGCGCGGTGGCTCACGCCTGTAATCCTAGCACTCTGGGAGGCCGAGGTGGGTGGATTGTTTGAGCTCAGGAGTTCGAGACTAGCCTGAGCAAGAGCGAGACCCCGTCTCTACTATAAATAGAAAGAAATTATCTGGACAACTAAAAATAGAAAAAATTAGCTGGGCATGGTGGCGCATGCCTGTAGTCCCAGCTACCCGGGAGGCTGAGGCAGGATGATCGCTGGAGCCCAGGAGTTTGAGGTTGCTGTGAGCTAGGCTAACGCCACAGCACTCTAGCCCAGGCAAGAGAGTGAGACTCTGTCTCAAAAAAAAAAAAATTAAAAAAAAAAGATTATGAGTAAAAGTCTGACTGGGCCGAAATCTTGCCTGTTGATTATGAAAGGAGATGTTTGTGTCTTAGGTTTTCTACTTCTGTTCTGCTTTAGGTGGGCTACACCATTCGATTTGAGGACTGCACTAGCCCCGAAACAGTGATCAAGTACATGACAGACGGAATGTTGCTCAGAGAGTGCCTGATTGACCCTGACCTCACTCAGTACGCCATCATCATGTTGGACGAGGCCCATGAGAGGACAATTCACACTGACGTGCTCTTTGGATTGTTGAAAAAGGTAACTGGGCACTCTTCAGTGACCCTTCTACCTGTTGGAAACTGAATTCTGGGAATTGGATTTGAGTACCTGTGCCTTTTTGGGTAATTCTTTTTAGTAAGCCACATCGCATTTCTCTTTAGACAGTTCAGAAACGGCAGGACATGAAGCTGATTGTCACCTCAGCCACCTTGGATGCAGTGAAGTTTTCTCAGTACTTCTATGAAGCTCCCATCTTCACCATCCCAGGTCGAACGTATCCAGTGGAAATACTGTACACAAAGGAGCCTGAGACAGATTATCTGGATGCCAGCCTGATCACTGTCATGCAGATTCATTTAACGGAGCCACCAGGTGAGGGGAAAGAGCATTTTTTTACTCTTAGGCCAAAGGTCCTAATATGGGTATATTTTTGCTAATCTTTTTAAAAATGCCTTTTAAATATTGGTCTCTCTGTAAGTCTCAGACCTGCATGTTTGAAATGGTGGTAGTGAAAATATAAATAATGGTGTGCAGGATTTAAATGCAGCTATCAAACATGGGTAGATGATAACTTCGATATAATGTTGTGTAAACAAACTTCTCTTGTTTACTTAGAGGTGAAAATATGAACGTGTATTTTCTGTTATTTAAAGTTCTATTAATGTCACTACAGCCTTTGTATAGAACACACACTCAGTTAGAAAGTGCATTCATGCTCTGTTCTCCTCGTAGGTGACATCCTGGTCTTCCTGACTGGTCAGGAGGAGATCGATACTGCTTGCGAGATTCTGTATGAACGAATGAAATCCCTGGGACCTGACGTTCCAGAGTTAATTATCCTCCCCGTGTACTCTGCCCTTCCCAGCGAGATGCAGACCCGAATCTTTGACCCAGCTCCACCAGGCAGCAGGAAGGTAACACTAGGCAAAAGTGAAGCTCCCGTGTGCCCTGAAACCGTCTGGTGTGTGCAGCCTGCCTCCACAGGGGTCGCTTAAGGTGTATGCAAGGCTTGTTTAGGGACTGGACCAACAAGTTTGTTTAGGAACGAGGGTCTTGTATGTGACCTCTGCTCTTCTTTCTCTGCTCCTTCATTTGACAAATATTTTTTGAGCATCTACCAGGCTTTGGGCTGGACACCAAGGCTGCAGCACGAGGATAAGCTGCTGTCTGCTGAGGGGCATCCACCAGTCGACAGACCTTCAGCACATAGTGTGAAAGTGCTGCTGGTGCTCTGGGTACCCAGAGCGGAGCCCCCAGCCCATCCTTGTTTAGAGGAAGGAAGGATCTAAGCTGGTTCTGAAGAACTCGAGAAGGATAGGGGGATGTGCGTTCCAAGGAGGCAGCACCACCTGTGACGGGCTGGAGGCGAGTGAGCAGGGCCAGTTCAGGGAGCAGCGTAGTTCCGGTAGCTGTAACTGAGTGTGTGACGGTGTGGATGAGACAACAGAAAAGGAGACGGATGGGTTTTTTTTAAATAATAACTTTATTGAAATTTAATTTATATACCATACAATTTACCCTATTAAAGTGTATAATTCAATGGCCTTTAGTATATACTTCTGCCTTGGTATCTGCAAGGGATTGATTCCAGGATAGCCCCCTTCCCCACACATAACGAAATCCGAGGATGCTCAAGTCCCTTATGTAAACTGGCTTAGTATTTGCATGTAACCTATGTGTATACTCCAGTTTGGTACTTTATTTTTTAATTTTTTAAGTTTTTGAGACAGAGTCTTGCTTTGTC